GTTCTCAGCCTGAAAAAGTAGCTAAGATCACAGCCGTGAGCCACCAGCATCTAGCTTGGAAATCTAGTAACTTAGCCAAATGAGTTTTTATTTGAAACTGGGTCTTGCTGTGCTGCCCAGGCTGGTCTCTAATTTCTGAGCTGAAGAGATCCTCTGACTTCTACCTCCTAGAATCACAGGCATGGGCCACTGCACCCAGCTCAATGACATTCCTTAAACTAGCAATGCACAGTGGAATACAGCTGTGATTCCAGCCCACAAGAAGCAGAGGCAAGAAGATTATGAATTTGAATCCAGCCTCAGCTACAAGGTGAGTTGAAGAACAGTCTAGGTTACCTAGAAAGACCCTGTCTTTGAAAAAGAAAAATCCTTCAACTAAATTTGTTGTAATTTTTGTAGTTATTTATTTAGAGACAGTCTCCATATGGACATGTAGTCCATACAAAAAATTATCCTGGGGCTGGGAATGTGGCTTAGTGGTAGAGTACTTGCCTACCATGTATGAGGCCCTGGGTTTTATTTCTCTATACTACATAAAAAATAATAAAATTATTTTTTTAAAAAGGTTATGCTGTGAGCCTTGAGCTGAATTGCTCAGGGACAGCTCCCAGGCCTAGAGCTCAAGCCCCAGGACTGACAAAAAAAAAAAAGAGAGAGAGAGAGAGATCTTTCATGCGATTGTTTCTAACATATTTGTAAGAGTCTATCTTTGTTGCTTTGTATGTCCCTCCCCCATGGTATAACCCCTGCTTTCACTATATATGATGTTGGTATATATGGAAGGGAAGGGAAAAAACAAATTGTTAAAACAGGGATACAGGAGGACCCATTGCAACAATGAGATGTACAAGTCATTATGTCAAAAAAAACGGACTTTACAACTTTGGTGGGGGGGACTGGGGGGGTATATGAAGGGATGGGACGGGGAAACAAAGGAGGAGGCTACAAAGCTTGATAAGAAATGTACTCATATGGGCTGGGAAGGTGGCTCAGTGGTAGAGCGCTTGCCTTGCATGCCTGAGGCCCTGGGTTCCATTCCTCAGCAACACATAAGCAAAAAAAAAAAAAGCTGAAAGTGGCGCTGTGGCTCAAGTGGTAGAGTACTAGCTTTGAGCTGAAGAGCTGAGGGACAGCGCCCAGGCCCAGAGTTCAGGCCCCATGACTGGACCCAAAAAAAACCCAAAAACCAAAAAACAAAGAAATGTACTCATTATCTTGCCCATGTAATTGTAACCCCTCTCTGTACAGTATTTTCACAATAAAAAAAATTAAAAATTAAAAAAAGGTTATGCTGACCTAGCCCTGTGTGATGACAATTAAATGTAGCTACAGAATGGAAGTCAAGAAGCTTTTTTTTTTTTTCTTTTTTCTTTTCAATTTTTTGGTGCCAGTACTGGGGCCTGGAAGCTGTTCTTTAGCTATTTTGCTCAAGGTTGGTACTCTACCTCTTGAGGCACAGCTTTGCTTCTGGTTTTTTGGTGATTTATTGGAGGTAAGTAGCTAGGATTACAGGCATGAGTCACAGAGGTGGTATTATGGAATACTTTATTGGAGAGCAGAAGGCCTCCTAAATATTAGTACCTTAGCAGTGGCAACAAAACGAACCACAGGCATGCCAAGTAATACTGGGCTCATAGGCAAGGTTTGGCTCAGTTTCCTGATTTCCTGCTGGTTCAGTTCTCACAGGGCCAAGAGAGGTTCTGTCTTGGCCAGAAGATGGAGGAAAAAGAAGATGGAGGAGGTGAATCAGTGGGATGATGGAACAAGGAGCACTTCCATAAATGATCATCATTGGAGTGGGGAGATTCCCACCTTAAATGTATGCCACCGTCCCCCTATCTTCCCATCCCTTTCAGGATATTATTTCTACTCATGGAGCTTCATTCTCTCCCTCTGTGCTGGCTTCCTTTCCATCAGCCTTTAAACATGTTAACCACGTTATTTCCTTATTTATGGTGAACACAAGGCCTCTGGCTAAGTAAGCATTCCTTTATGAAATTTCTGGCTCCCTAGAGCTGGTCTTTCACTTTCAAGACAATTGTTATTGTTGTTGTTGTTGGTGGTGGTGGTGGTGGTGGTGGTGGTGTGTGTGTGGTTTTGTCCTCCTTTTCTATCTTCATGCTGGGGAAGGAACTCACAGCCTCAGGCATGCCAGGTAAGTGCATTACCACTGAACCATATTTCCATAGCTAACTGACCTTTTTTTTTTTTTTTTTTTTGGTCAGTCATGGGGCTTGAACTCTGGGCCTGGGCGCTGTCCCTCAGCTCTTCAGCTAAAGGCGAGCACTCTACCACTTGAGCTACAGCGCCACTTCTGGTTTTCTCGTGGTTTATTGGAGATAGGAGTCTCACGGTCTCTCCTGCCCGGGCTGGCTTTGAACCGCGATCCTCAGATCTCAGCCTCCTGAGTAGCTAGGATTACAGGCGTGAGCCACCAGCGCCCGGCCTAACTGACCTTTTTAAGAATTCCTGCCACATGGGCTGGGAATGTGGCTTAGTGGTAGAGTGCTTGCTTAGCATGCATGAAGCTCTCGGTTTGATTTCTCGGTACTACACACAGAGAAAAAGCTGAAAGTAGCACTGTGGCTCAAGTGGTAGTGTGGTAGCCTTGAGCAAAAGAAACTCAGAGACAGTACCTAGGTCCTGCGTTCAAGCCCCATGACTGGCAAAAGAAAAAAGAAAAAAAAAACCTCTTCTATAGTTGACCAGCATGCTCCACCTCCACTTCCTCCCGTGTTACCACCCCCAGGCTGACCTTCCTTATCCTCACAGAAACAGCCTGGCAGAGGCCACCAGTGACTTCCCTGTAGTGAATTCATGGACTCTGTGGCCCTCACCTCATTTGAACTCTCATTTACAATCTTGATCACTCCTTTAATGTCTGCTGCCCACATGCCTGGTTTTCCTCCTGCCTTCCTAATTGCCTTCACATGCTCCACATATAATTGCTTTTGAAACAAGGCCTCATCGTGTATGTACCTCAGGCTGGCCTGAGGGGAAAAAAAAATTTTTTTTTTTGGTTGGTCAGGTGGCTTGAACTCTGGGCTTGAGCACTGTCCCTGAGCTCTTTAGCTCAAGGCAAGGGCTCTACCACCTTGAGCCACAAGGCCACTTCTAGTTTTCTGGTGGGTTTATTGGAGATAAGAGTCTCACAGACATTCCTGCCCAAGCTGGCTTTGAATCACTTTCCTCAGAGCTCATCCTCCTGAGTAGCTAGGATTACAGGAGTGAGCTACTGGCACCTAGGTTGGCCTGAGGAATTTACTATGCAGATAGACTCAAACTCTACCAGATTCTACTCAGACTTTGACCTCTGACTCCCTTTGTGTCACTGCTTTGTAGGGACCTAACCTCAATTGTGTTTTTCCTCACTTTATATACTTTCCTAGGGCAATCCAGACCCCCTCAAAATAAAGCATATTCTGAAATTAGGACTTTAACACATGAAATTTTTGGGAGGAAAGATAGGAAAACTTTACCCCTATGACCAGATGTTGCTACTTTGAAATACCCAATCTGAAAAGAACAAAAAAACAAACAAACAAAACCTTACAACGAATCTGATAGTATTTTCCTTTAGAGCTTTTCAATTGCTCCCCATTGCTTCCAAAGTAAATTTGAGTTGGGGTAAATGTTAAGTGACTTTATGTCTATACTGCCTTACATTTTTGGGATCCTTTAATGTTCACCCAATGTTCTTTTTTTTTGGGGGGGGGGGGAGGAGGTCCTGTTGTGGGGCCTGAACTCTGGGCCTGGGCGCTGTCCCTCAGCTCTTCAGCTCAAGGCTAGCACTCTACCACTTGAGCCACAGTGCCACTTCCAGCTTTTTTCTTTTTGTTTATGTGGTGCTGAGGAATCGAACCCAGGGCCTCATGCATGCAAGGCAAGCGCTCTACCACTGAGCCACCTTCCCAGCCCCAACACCCAATGTTCTGTATCATACATTTCTCAGAAGGAGTGCTGAACAAATCTTTGTTAAATAAATGTACCTAGACAATTTTCAATATATATTTATATATATACTTTTTTGTCATTTGTGGGTCTTGACCTCGAATCCTGGGCACTGTCCCTAAGCTCTTTTGCTCAAGCTTACATTTGAGCCACAGCTCCACTGGCGGCTTTTGAGTGGTTTATTGGAGATAAGCTTCTCTTGGACTTTCCTGCTCAGGCTGGCTTTGAACCGTGACCCTCAGATCTCAGCCTCCCGAGTAGTTAGGATTTCAGGTGTGAGCCTCTGGCTCTTGGATTCAAATTTTTTATTATTTATTGATACTAACGACGAAACCAAGAGTGAATGTTGTGCATGCTAAGCATGTGCTCTACCACTTAATTACATCCGAGTCTTTTTTTTTTTAAATTCAGGAGAATATTTTTCTGCAGTCTTTTTTTTTTTTTTTTTTTGTAGGTCGTGGTGCTTGAACTCTGGGCCTGGGCGCTGTCCCTCAGCTCGTCAGCTCAAGGCTAGCACTCTACCCTTAGAGCCACAGCACCACTTCCGGTTTTCTGAGTGGTTTTTTGGAGATTAGAGTCTCTCGGAGTTACCTTCGGGGGTGGGCTTTGAACCTCCGATCCTCAGATCTCAGTCTCCTGAGTGGCTAGGATTACAGGGGTGAGCCACCTACACCGGGCTTTCTGCAGTCTTAATTCTCCCTTCCATGTTGGACCAGGTATATTTCTGTAACTCCAGCTTCCTTTTCGCCCTCTAGTGGTGGCTCAACGCCTCGCGGGGGAAACAAATCGAACTATTTAAGGAATTTCCGGAAACGGGTGTGTGTGGCTACGTATGATAATTTACATACCCACAATGCATTGCACTCAGGAGTTTGCTTAAATTAAAACATGATTATTTTTCTTTTTAGATTTTTTTCCCTTAAAATAAGAAAAAGTCACAGAATTATGTGACATAAGAGCAAAGGTCACCATCTATCTTGGGTAAATAATGACCGTTGGTGATGAAGGCGTTGCAGTTACCCGAGTACTGGGTGATCAGACACAATCGCATACTCTGGTTTCTTTTCAGATCGTATAAATGTTTCTCCTTTTACTAAAGATTTCTGACGCGAGGAGCAATTCTGAGTCTTCACCCAGTTCTTTGAGGCCTTGCTTCTAGCAGGGCTAACAATGATGTTTGAAAAACAGAAAGCTTTGTAGTGTTTTGGATATTATATATGTCTAGGACCTATTAAAGTCTGAGCGAATTTGCAAAGCATGCAGGACTTTTTGGTTTGATTTGGTTTTTGACTTGGCATTAGAAAATATCCCGATGGTTGAGTTTAAAAACTTTGGACAAGCAGTTTGTCGGTGGTTGAGGTCTGAGGATCATGGTTCAAAGCCAGCCCAGGCAGGAAAGTCTGTTAAGATTCTTACCTCCAATAAACTATCAGAAAACCGGAAATGGTGCTGTGGCTCAAGTGGTAGAATTCTAACCAGGAGCTGAAGAGCTGAGGGACAGTGCCCAGGCCCAAAGAGTTCAAGCCCTATGACCGACAAAAAAGAAAAAGAGTTCAAACAGGCAGGTGGCCAGGTATCTGTAATCCTGGCTACAAGACCGAGATCTGGTGATCATAGTTTGAAGCTAGCCAGGCAGGAAAGTCATTGAGTCTTATCTCCAATTAACCACCAGAAAACCGGAAGTAGAACTGTAGCTCAGTAGCTCAACGTGATAGAACAGCACTAACTTGGGCAAAAAGCTGAAGTATAATTGGCCTCCTCCCCACCCCTGCCCGGGACTGCCTTTGAACCATGATCCTCAGATCTCAGCCTCATGAGGAGCTAGGAATATAGGTGTGAGTCACCGGCACCTAGGTATAGTAGTGTCAGCATACAGTAATGATAACTGTACACTCATGTTTTAGGAAGTATTTTTATTATAAAGGTGATACACAGAGGGGAGTTACAGTTACATAAGTCAGGTAAATAGTACATTTCTTTTTAGAAAGTGTCACCCCTTCACTCACTCTCTCCCCACCCACAAGTTATATAGCTCATTTTCAACATGGTGTTCACTGAAGTACCATTGCTGCATTTATTCATCTTTTGTCCATTTCTGTGCTTCCCTTTATGCTGTCAAAGACATATAAATGAACAAACAGAACAAAAAGAAACAAAAAAGATGCCGGGCGCTGGTGGCTCACGCCTGTAATCCTAGCTACTCAGGAGGCTGAGATCTGAGGATCGCGGTTCAAAGCCAGCCCGGGCAGGAGAGACCGTGAGACTCCTATCTCCAATAAACCACCAGAAAACCGGAAGTGGCGCTGTAGCTCCAGTGGTAGAGCGCTCGCCTTGAGCTGAAGAGCTGAGGGACAGCGCCTAGGCCCAGAGTTCAAGCCCCACAGCCGACAAAAAAAAAAGAAACAAAAAAGAAAAAAAATCTCTTGATTTCATTTCCTGGAGTTCATTTTGATATGTGTGTGTGTGTGTGTGTGTGTGTGTGTGAGTCGTGGGGCCTGAACTCTGGACCTGGGTGCTGTCCCTCAACTCTTCAGCTCAAGACAAGCACTCTACCACTTGAGCCACAGCGCCACTTCTGGCTTTTTCTGCTTATGTGGTGCTGAGGAATTGTACCCAGGGCCTCATGCATGCAAGGCAAGCACTCTACCACCGAGCCACCTTCCCAGCCCGAGACCTGTATAATTTATGTCCACGTATTTTAGCTGTAGCTTCTGCATATATGAACAAACATGTGCTATTTGTCTTTCTGAGCTTGGCTTACATCAATTAACATGATTTGTTCTAGGTCCATCCATTTCCCTGCAAATGACATAATATTCTTTCTAATGGCCGTGTAAAATTCCATTATGTATAGGGACCACATGTTTTGGATCCACTCATGCACTCATTTGGGCTGTTTCCACAACTTGAATAATATGAATAGTGCAGCAATGAACATGGATATACAAGTGTCTTTATGTGCACACTCATGTTTATCATAACATGATTCACAGTAGCCAAGCTATAGAGTCAACCTGATGAATGGATAAAGAAAATGGCATATTTTCAGCCACAAAATACTACATGAAGAACAATGAATTGGGGTTGGAGGTGTGGCTTAAGTGATAATGTACCTGCCTAGCAAGAGCAAGGCAAGGCCTGGAATTCAAATGAATTAAGTCATTTGCAGGAAAGTGGATGGAACTGTAGATCATAATGCTAAGCAAAATAAGCCAGACTCAGCCAGGGGCTGTTGGCTCATGCCTGTAATCCTAGCTACTTAGGAGGCTGAGATCTGAGGATTCTAGTGCAAAGCCAGCCTGTGCAGAAAAGTCTGTGAGACTCTTCTCTGCAATTAACCCTCAGAAAACTGGAAGTGAAGCTGTGGCTCAAAGTGGTAGAGCGCTAGCTTGAGTGACAAGGCTCAGGGACAGCACCCTAGGATCTTAGTTCACACTCTTGGTACTGGAACAAAACAGACTCAGTGGATTAGTGTTTTGGAGGCCACCTGGGATTAGGCAGGCCCTATATTCAGTCCAGATGATGTCCTGAGCTTTCCAGGAGGCTAATTAGTGGCCCTCTCCTCCAGACCTGCGTTTTGGGAAGCAAAGGCATCCTCCTCCAATACATCACTCTAGGGCTCATCTGATGATCTCCCTTCTCCACACCGTGCACAACAGACAGATGTTGAAACTGTTTATTGAAGTCTTCCCAGACAGCAGCTAACTCTCTCCCCACCCCCAACTTCCCACCCAGGAAGCCGGGGGAGGTTCCCGATAAGGAAAGACCTTGGCCTGGGTTTGACATAGGAACAATTACTCTTTTCATTCCATATCCTTCTTCACTTTCTCCTCTTCCTTTTCCTCCTCTTCTTCCTCTATCTCTTCCTCCTCCTCCTCCACTTCTTCTTCTTCCTCCTCCTCCTCTTCTACCCTCCCTTCCTCTTCCTCTTCCATGGCTGTGATGTATTCCATCTGATTGGAATCATCAAAGTCGGGGAGAAAGGCGAAGTTGCGGCCGCTGGAGCCTCTGTGGAAGTGTAACGCTGCAGGCCCACAGCGGTGTGAGCTGGGGCGCTGGCCGGGCCCCGCACCCTGGCAGCCAGGGCTCCTCACCCCCTGCTCACCTTTGGTAACATTGACCTTGTTGGCTGCCAAGATGTCCGCCTGGATGCTATCGATCTTCCTGTACAGGTCCTCAGCGCTTTCCTGAGGACGGGAGCCGGAGGGGCAGGCAGGGGTGAGGCAGGGCGGGGTGCACTCTGCCACTGGGGTTTGAGCAGAGGGGTGCTGCAGGCAAGGCTTCCTGGGGTGCAGCTCCCAGCCCGACTGCCAGGGTGCAAGAGCGGTTGTGGGGACCCGGAGAGCGCGGACGGCCAGGCCGGTGCTGGGGGGGGGGGGAGGGTTGGGAGGTGGGGGAGGGGAGGTGGGGGAGGGGAGGTGTCTTTCTGACCCCCCACCCCCACCTCCGCACCTGGGCTGAATCTAGGGGGCCGGGAGGGAGCACTCACGAGGAAAAGCTGGAAGAGCTCTTCCCCCATGGACTCGCGCACGTGCTCCTCCACCACCGGGAACATCTGCACGAAGACCTGCGGCCCCCCCGCCCCCCGTGTCCATGTCCATCCGTCCATCGGTCCGTCGGTCCGTGCCGCGGACCGTGACCCTGGCCCCGCAGCCCTGCCCGCCCCCCCCCCGTCCCCCCCCGCCCCCCCCCCCCCCCGCACCTCCAGCGTCAGGCTGGCCAGCCTCTGGCTGTTGCTGTGGTCCGTGTTGCCCATGGCGGCCAGCAGGCTGTGCACCACGCGCATGTGCAGCAGGTCCTCCGCGACGCTCAGGCTGCCGCGCGCCAGGACCCTGGCAGGGGGAGCGGGGCCAGGCCCCGGCCGGCTCGGGTCTCTCCCGCCGCCGGCGGCTGGGGTGCCGGACCCACCTTCCCTGCCCGCTTACCCGATGGTCTTGGCGGCCGCAGCCTGCTGCAAGAATACTGGCAGGTGGGTGGTGAAATCGAGAACCGAGGACTCTGGGGGTGGCGGGGGGAGGCAAGCGGCCTTGAGGCCCAGGGCCCCTTCCCCGGCCCCGGCCGGACATCCGACCCGCCATCCTACCCGCGAGGATCTTGGAGCGCAGTTTGGACTTCTCCAAGGATGGTGTCAGCAGGGCCACCAGGCCCTTGAGTAGAGGGAAACGCACGTCGTAGTTGACCAGGTCCTTGATCAGCTCGATGGCTAGGAAAGAGCGGAGACGCTGGAGAGGCCGCGCCCCTGCGTGCCCCCCCACCCCCCATCACCCTTCCCAACACCCAGTCGTGGGCAAGGCCCTTCCAGGCCTCCTGGAACATTGTGGAGGCCACATCCTTACAGAACCAGCCCCAAGGGAAGGGGAGGAGGAGAAAGGAGGAGGGGCTGGTGAGCCACTTCAGCCAGAGTAGAGGAGGTTAGAGGTTAGAGTAGAGGAGGTTAGAGTAGAGGTTAGAGTAGAGGTTAGAGTAGAGGAGGTTAGAGTTGAGGAGGTTAGAGTCTGGATGCGGAGGCCCCACTGGTCTTTTATTTTTAATTTTTTTATTCTGTTGGTCATGGGCTTGAACTTGGGGCCTGGGTGCTGTCCCTGAGCTCTTTTTGCTCAAGACTAGCACTCTACCACTTGGAGCCACAGTACCACTTGATTGGAGATAAGAGTCTCACAGACTTTTCTGCTTAGGTTGGCTTTGAACTGAGATCCTCAGTTCTCAGCCTAGCGTTGTCAGCTCATTTTAGAGACTAAAAGTGTCACGCCTTTAGAGGGAAAAAGTTAATTTTTGTTGGTCATGGGGCTTGAACTCAGAGCCTGGGTGCTGTACCTGAGCTTTCTTGCTCAGAGCTAGCGCTTTACCACTTGGAGCCATAGTTCCACTTCCAGTTTCCTGGTGATTAATTAGTGATAAGAGTCTCATGGACTTTCCTAACCCTGGCTGGCTTTGAACTGGGATCCTCAGATCTCAGCCTCCTGAGTAGCTAGGATTACAGGCATGAACCACCAGAACTCAGAGGAAGAGTTCATTTAAACTCTGCCTGCACATGCAGCCAATTCCAAAGTGCTAAAAGTTCTGAGAAGGCTTGTTTCATGGCAATTCTTGTTCCTAGTCTGTCCCTGTTCTTTCTCTATATTTCCAGACAAGACTGCCACCTACTGGCCAGAGTTGAGAACTATGCTTCCATTCAAGTTTGGTTCCTCTTCTAGCAGAGAGCTAGCAAGACAGATAAATTACACTCTTGTAAAGATCTCCAAATCAAGCATATTCCTGACCATTTATTTTCTACCTCTGACTCCTGTGCCTTCCATATCTCTTTCCCCATATCCTGTTCAAAGCCCAATGTTGAAACATTAAAAGTACCTTTTAAGCCAGGCCTGGTGGTTCAACCCTGTAATTCTAGTTAGTGGACAGGCAGAGATGGGGATGGGGTGAAGTAGGATGGGGGTTTTGAGGTCAGCCTATGCATAAAAGTTCAGGAGACTCCATCTCAATCAGTGACTGGGTGAGGTAGCACATGCCTATTATCACAGTTACAGGGGAAACACAATGACTGGGCACAGTGGTGTGCGCCTGTCAACCCCAGCAACATGGGGAAGCACACGTAGGATCACAGCCCAGGCCGGCTTGGGTATGTGGCTTGGGTATGAAGTGAGACTCTACCTTAAAAATAACCATTGCATGGGGCTGGGAAGATGGCTCAGTGGTAGAGCGCTTGCCTTGCATGCATGAGGCCCTGGGTTCGATTCCTCAGCACCACATAAGCAAAAAGAAAAAAGCTGGAAGTGGCGCTGTGGCTCAAGTGGTAGAGTGCTAGCCTTGAGCTGAAGAGCTGAGGGACAGTGCCCAGGCCCAGAGTTCAGGCCCCCTGACCGGACCTCCCCCCCCTCCAAAATAACCATTGCAGCTGGGCATCAGTGGCTCATGCCTATAATCCTAGTCAATCAGGAGGCTGAGATCTGAGGATGGACGTTCAAAGCTAGCCCGGGCAGGAACATTTGTGAAACTCTTTTATCTCCAATAAGCCACCAGAAAACCAGAAATGGCACTGTGGCTCAAGTGGTAGAACACTTGCTTGAGCTGAAGAGCTGAGGGACAGTGCCCAGGCCCAGAGTTCAAGCCCACAATTGACAAACAACAACAACAAAAGAGTGCAAAATGAGGCTGCAGGTGGCTGAGGTGTCCAGCAAGCAGCAAGGTTGTGAACACAATCCCCAGAGCCTCCCACCACACAAAAAAGGCCAACTCCATGTATACCTATAGTCTCAGCTACTTGAAAGACTGAAGTTGGAGGATCACTTGAGCTCCAGAATTCAAGGCTATCCTGGGCAGCATAACGAGATCCTATCTCAAAAACAAAAAGGAACCAGGCACTGGTGGCTTACACTTGTAATTCTACTTACTCAGGAGGTTGAGATCTGAGGACTGTGGTTTGAAGCCAGCCCAGACAGGAAAGGAGATTCTTCCTTCTCCTTCTCTCCTCCTAGTCCTGGGGCTTTAACTTAGGGCCTGGGCACCATCCCTAAGCTTCTTTTGTTCAAGGCTGGTGCTCTACCATTTGAACCACAGCCCCACTTTTAGCTTTTTTTTGGTCGGTCATGGGGTCTGAACTCTGGGCCTGGGTGCTGGCCTTCAGCTCTTCACAAGGCTAGTTCTCTATCACTTGAGCCACAAGTGGAGCTGTTGAGGACTCGAACCCAGGGCCTCATGCATGTAAGGCAAGCACTCTACCACTGAGCCACCTTCCCAGCCCCCACTTTCAAATTTTTGATGGTTAATTGGAAGTTAAGTATCTCATGGACCTTTCTGTCTGTGATGGCTTGGAATTGAGAGCCTCAGATCTCAGCCTCCTGAATAACTAGGATTAAAGGCATGAGACACCAGTGCCCAGGTCAGACAGTGATGTTTGACTCAAGTCTCAGAGAGAATCCCTATCACAGAAAGCTGGCTGGAACCTGCCCAGATTCTAAACCCAGCAGCACATATATGCTGAGTTGCTCAGCAGAATCTGAAGCCCCAGAGACTCCAAAGGCTGAGTTTTCCCTGCGCTCTTAGTCTCTCATAATACAACCAATATGAACGACTATAACCTTTACAAATATTGAAAAGAAACTTATTTTTAATAAATTGGTAATTTGGTAAATTAGCCATTCAGCAAATTGCTCATTTGGCCAATTGACTTCTGGCAGGCATATGTTTGGCAAATTAACTTACAGTGAATTAGTCTACTTCTAATTATCATACATAAGAATGCTCATGTTCCTAAGGTAATAATTGATCTGTCAAGGATATATATCCCTGTTTTTGCAATTTGTTGTTCTCAAACCTGAAGGAGTTCATTTTGGATCTTCTCTGGCTACTCACCTACTACATCTAAGATCTATTAGTCTCTCCTCCCCTCCCTTTGGAGGAGTTTCACCAGAAACTGAATGGTTCATTTTTTTAACTTCAGTTCTGCACTGAGCAAGTGCAACAGCTCCTCCTTGTGGACACTTCTTATATGTGCAGCCTCTATATTCAGAGTTACATCAAGACTATTTTGACATGGTAAGACATAGACTAATTCAAAGAAATGTACTTTTTGCCTGACTTATGCAACTGTATCCCCATGGTACATTAACTTTCTAATAACAAAACATTTTAAAAAGCTGGGTGCTGGTGGCTCATGCCTGTAATCCTAGCTGTTCAGATGGCTCAAAGGATTGAAGTTCAAAGCCAGCCAGGGCAGGAAATTCTATGAGACTCTCATCTCCAATTAGTCACCAAAAAACCAGAAGTGGAGCTGTGGCACAAAGTGGTAGAGCGCTAGCCTTGAGCAAAAGAACTCAGGGACAATGCCCAGGTTCTGAGTTCAAAAAAAAAAAATAGAAAAAAAGAAAAGGCTAATTCAATCAATCAATAGACATTTCTCTTCTTCTTTTGTCTGTACTGGGGCTTGAACTCTGGGCCTGGGCGCTGTCCCTAAGCTCTTCAGCTCAAGGCTAGCCTAGCACTTTACCACTTGAGCCACAACGCCACTCTGGTTTTCTGGTGGTTAATTGGAGATAAGAGTCTCACAAATGTTCCTGTCCAGGCTTTGAACCTAGATCCTCAGATCTCAGCCTCCTGACTAGCTAGCATTACACGTATGAGCCACCATGCACGGCTTTCTTGTTATTTTTTTTTTTTTAAGACAAGGTCTTTCTATGTAGCTCAGGTTGGCCTTGAACTTTCAGTCAGATTACTGAGTTATAGTCAGATAACTCAGTTTCATTGTCATCACGAGCTGACATCAAACCAAAGGGCAATGTGGAAGCTTCCTGTTCCCACTGCTTCTGACACTATTAGCTATTACTAAATAAACATAGAAAGATTCTAAACTGGGCCAATATTGAAAGAAGCTGGGGCCTGGAGGAGTTTATCAACATAACTAAAGCTAACCCATTTTGTCACAATTTTTTTTTTCCCAGTCATGGGGTCTGAACTCTGGGCCTGGGCACTGTCCCTCAGCTCTTCAGCTCAAGGCTAGTGCTCTACCACTTGAGCCACAGTGCCACTTCTGGCTTTTTCTGCTTATGTGGTGCTGAGGAATCGAACCCAGGGCCTCATGCATACAAGGCAAACACTGAATTACCTTCCCAGCCCCTGTCACAAATCTTTTCAATAGCCTGGTCCTAGTGGTTCATGCCTGTAATCCTAGCTACTTAGGAAGGTAAGATCTGAGGACTGAGATTCAAAGCCAGCTCAGGCAGGAAAGTTTTTTTTTTTTTTTTTTTTTTTGGGTCCGGTCGTGGGGCCTGAACTCTGGGCCTGGGCGCTGTCCCTCAGCTCTTCAGCTCAAGGCTAGCGCTCTACCACTTGAGCCACAGCGCCACTTACGGCTTTTTTTTCTTTTTGCTTATGTGGTGCTGAGGAATCAAACCCAGGGCCTCAGGCATGCAAGGCAAGCGCTCTACCACTGAGCCACCTTCCCAGCCCATCAGGCAGGAAAGTTTTATCTTTACATAACCACCAAAAGAGACTCAGAAGTGCCAAGCCCCCATGGATCGCACCTGTAATCCTAGCTACTCAGGAGGCTGAGATATGAGGATCAAGGTTCATAGCTACCCAAAAAAGGCAGAAAAGTCTGTGGTATGCTTATCTCCAATAAACCATTCAGAAAAAAAAAATACTGGAAGTGGTGATGTGGCTCAAGTGGTAGATTGCTAGCTTTGAGCACAAAGATGCTCAGGGACAGCGTCTGCGCCCTAAGTTCAAGCCACTGGACTGGCAAAAATGAAACAAAACAAATCCTAGAAGTAGAGCTGTGGCTCAAGCATGCACGTGCGCACGCACACACACACACACACACACACACACACAATTTATTCAATGAACTACTGAGCAGCCATTGTGTTCCAGACACTGGGCTGTTAAAGAAATGGAGCAATCCTTGTTCCTATACTGGAGTTGCTCAGAGGTTGGGAGGAGAGAGATATTCACTTATTCAGGAAAGTAATAATGCAGAGTGTGGAGTCCTCCCTGCCTCCATCCCAACATGGAAGGATGCCCTAATATATGCTTGGCACAGTGCTGAGAAAGTAGGGATAAAGACCATGACAGTTACCCAGGAATTTTGCACCATCTATGTAAAAGGCTTTTTGGAGGTTAATGCTGTCATTGAGGGACAACTTGCTGGAGGGGGCAGGGTGGTATTAAGGAAGGAGGCTGCCATCTGACAAGGGTTAAAGGCAGGGTCCAAGAAGGCCTGAGTGGCACGGTGGCTCAAGCGGTAGAGCGCTTACCTTGAGCTGAAGAGCTGAGGGACAGCGCCCAAGCCCAGAGTTCAAGCCCCACGACCGAAGGAAAAAACAAAACAAAACAGGAAGTGATGGCAAGAAGGCCTGAGAAGAAGCAATACTTAAGCTGAGAGCCTTGGGAGGGAGAAAGTGGCTGTGTTTGCCAGGTAGAGGTAGGTGGGAAGATCTGAGGCATCTAACCCAGTCTCATTGAACTTCCTATCATGATTCCACTGCTAGGTCAGCACAGGATCAACGCCAGAAACTGATCTTTACTTAGGTCCCCCTCGCTCAGCTCCTCCTCAGATAAGAGCTGCTTGGGCTGTTAATCAGAGGGTTTCAACAAGCATTACTTCTCAATATACAAGGCCCACATACCCATCGGTACCTATGGGACTAAAACAAACTGATAATGCAGTGACAGAAAAATATGGCTGATACATTCCTTCATTCCCCAATCTTTTTTTGTGCTGTTGTTTCTGTTTTTTGTTGTTGCCAGACATGGGCACCGTCCCTAAGCTTCTTTTGCTCAAGGCTAGCACTCTACCACTTGAGCCACAGGCCACTTGTGGCCTTTTCTGTTATGTGGTACTGAGAATCAAACCTAGGGCTTCATGCATATTATTTTGGTCCGATCGTGGGGCCTGAACTCTGGGCCTGGGCGCTGTCCCTCAGCCCTTCAGCTCAGGGCTAGCACTCTACCACTTGAGCCACAGTACCACTTCCGGCTTTTTTTTTTCTGCTTATGTGGTGCTGAGGAATCGAACCCATGGCCTCATGCATGCAAGGCAAGCACTCTACCACTGAGCCACCTTCCCAGCCCCGGCTTCATGCATATTAGACAAGCACTCTACTACTAAGCCACATTCCCAGTCCTGTTCCTGTTTTTTTGTTTTGTTTTGTTTTGTTTTGTCCTGGGCCTAGGCACTGACTCTGAGCTAAAGGCTAGTGCTCTACCAATTGAGCCACAGTTCTACTTCTTGCTTTTTGGTGGTTAACTGGAGAAAAAAGTCTTATAGACTTTCTTGCCTGGGCTGGCTTTGAACCATGACTCTCAGATCTCAGCTTCCTGAGTAGCTAGGATTAAAGGAATCATTGGAGTCTGGCTATGTGCTGAATATTTTTTTAAATTATGATTTATTTAATGACTTCTTCTTTTTGTTGATGTGGTGCTGAGGAATCAAACCCAGGATCTCATGCATGCTAGGCAAGCACTTTACCACTAAGCCACATTCCCAGCCTGTGCTGGTAATTTTTTTTTTTTGTCAGTGTAGGGCTTGAACTCTGGGCCTGGGCGCTGTCCCTCAGCTCTTCAGTTCAAGGCTAGTGCTCTACCACTTGAGCCACAGCACTACTTCCAGTTTTCTAGTGGTTTATTGGAGATAAGAGTCTCATGGACTTTCCTGCCTGGGCTGGCTTTGAACCTCAATCCTTAGATCTGAGCCTCCTGAGTAGTTAGGATTATAGGCATGAGCCACTAATGCCTGGCTGAGCTAGTTATTTTTTTTTAATTTAATTTTATTTGTGAACATACTGTACAGAGGGGTTACAATTACATGGGCAGGATAATGCATACATTTCTTACCAAGCATTGCAGCCTCCTCCTTTGTTTACCCTTCTCATCCCTTTCCAGCCTCCCCCCTCCCCCCCAATCCCAATCCTCCTCCCCCCCCCCCTATTTTTGAGGTAGCATCTTGCTTCTTGTCTGGGTGTGAGCCTGAAGCATTATCTGCTTATTTTAGTCTTCCCTTTGTAGGTGGGATGACAGGTATGAACCCCCACCTTTCTTAGTCCCAAGTAGATAGGATTATACATGGGAGCAACTAGTTGTCCTCACTCCTCTCCTCTTCCTATTCCTCCTCCTCCTCCTTCTACTTTTTTTTTTCTTTTTGGTCAGTTGTGGGGCTTGAACTCTGGGCCTGGGCGCTGTCCCTGTGCTCTTAAGTTCAAGGCTAGTGCTCTACCTTTTGAGCCACACTGCCACTTCTGGTTTTCTGAGTGGTTTATTGGAGATAAGAGTCTCACAGACTTTTCCTGCCCAGGTTGGCTTTGAACCATAATCCTCAGATCTCAGCCTCCTGAGTAGCTAGGATTACAGGCGTGAGCCACCGGCACTTGGCCTCCTCCTTCTTCTTGCAGGTACTAGAGCTTGAACTCTGGGCCTCACACTTGCTTGGCTTGTTTCTTTAGCTGATACTCTTACCACTTGTACCATTCCTCCAACCTAGCTTTTTATTGGTTGTTTTAAGGATGGAATTTTGAGGACTTTTTTTTTTGGGGGGGGGGGGGGGGGTCTGGGCTGGCCTCAAAATTCAATCCTCTAAGATCTGAGTCTCCTGAGTAGATAGGATTACAGAAGTGAGCCACCAGCACCTGGCTTTTTTTTTTTTTTTTTCTGCCAATCCTAGGCACTGTCCCTGAGCTTCTTTTGCTCAGGCTTTCTCTACTTTTATGCCTCCGTTTCTACCATTCTTTTCCCAGAATGTCCTCCTCTGCATCTTTCTACCTTCCAAACTCTTTCCATTCTCCAATGCTCAGTCCTCTTTCCTTGTCCCTTCCTATTGACTACAGAAAGGTCTCTGAATCACCATAGTAAAAAGGAAGGAAATCACACCCTTTGAATGTCTGCTGTGTGCTGTGTTGAGAATGTAAGTCTTACAAGTCTCTCAGGCTGCTTTGAGTCTAGGTAGCTGTGTAGTCGTGAGAAATATACTTAACTCCCTGTGTTTTATTTTGAAAAACATAAAAACCACCATTCTTTCTTCACCATTCATTCACTCAAACATTTCAAACCTGGTATATGCGCCAGGCTTTGTATTCATGGTGGTTTTGAGAATGAAGCAAAATGATGTATGGAAAATGGCTTGCATCTCCGGCCCTCATTGTGTGAAATGTATTAATACTGTCATTATCCAGTTTAATTTCCTATAGAGAGGACATTCCTCAGAGTGGTTTTTTTTCCTTCTCTTTTTCTTCCTCCCCCTTCCTGTCCTTCCCCGCCCCCCCTCCTCTGAGGATTGAAGCCAGGCCTCACCAATGCTAGGAAAGTGCTCCACTCCAGTCCTAACAGTGTGACCTCTTCTACCATAAGAGGCTTGAACAAGAGGCAGCTTTTAATCCAGGTAGATTGTTTTATTTATGCCAGTAGCCAGTACTGTTGCTTGCATTCAGGACCTGGATGTTGTCCCTTAGCTTTTTTGCCCAAGGCTCCTGCTCTATCACTTAAGCCCTATCTCCACTTCATTTTTTTTTTTTTTCTGGTTAATTGGAGATACGAGTCTCATAGATGTGTCTGCCTGGGCTGGCTTCGAACTATGATCCTCAGATCTCAGCCTTCTGAGTGTGTAGGATTATAGGTGTGAGCCACTGGCATCTGGCTAGATCCTAAGAAAAGTTAAAGCACCATCTGGCTGATTCAAAGCATGACTATGACTGTCATATCCTTAAAAAAAACTGCTGAGCGTCATGGGCTCAGCATCTTCCACACAGAATGTAGAACAACAGGCTCTGTGATTGAGGGAAGACTCTGAGGCCTAATGTACCTTCTATCACCTGGAGGTGGCCACCTTACCTTCATACTGAACTTCCAGATGCATCGTGCCCAGCACCTTCAGCACACAGTCCACGATGCTGGGGTGTGTCGTTCCAATGATTTCCTGGTGAGATAAACAAGAAGACAAGGTGGTTGTCTTTAGACCTTGTACTCCTGGAATGAAACACCAACTTCCAAATCAACAAGTGCTATGGTGAGGGATGGAGGGAAGAACCAAACCAAACAAGCCCCAAAGAGTGACAGGGGAGCTTCCCAGGTTTCTACTGAAGCATCCCAGGTCTCTACTGAAGCACTAAGCTGAAGCTACCTGGTCAATGCAGGAACCAGAATTGCAGAAGCAAGAATCAGTCACTTCTTCTCTTAGGAGCCTCACCCATCAGCTAACCCCTCTTTTCTACCTCTTCCAAATTTACTTACACTCAGCTCATGGGCTCCTGTGAAGGCTTAGAGGCTTGGGAAGTTTCAAAGGAAAAGGTATCACTACTACTGGGCACCAGTGGCTCATGCTGGTAATCCTACTCAGTAGACTGAGGTTTGAGGATCCAAGTTCAAAGTCAGCCTGGGAAGACAAATCTAGGAGACTCTTATTTCCAACTAACAAGCAAAAAGCCAGAAGTGGTAGAGCAACAACCTTGAGTAAAAAGTTAAACCTTGAGCGTGAGTCCTAGTATTGGTGCACAAGCGCATGCACGTGCATGTGCACACACACACACACACACACACACACACACACAATCACATACACAAAGAAAAAGAAAAAATCATCAGCTCTCTGTACATTATCTTTATAATGACAGTAAAAAAGTGAAACAAGGGACTGGGAAGGTGGCTCAGTGGTAGAGCGCTTGCCTTGCCTGCATGAGGCCCTGGGTTCAACTCCTCAGCACCACCTAAGCAGAAAAAGCTGGAAGGGGCACTGTGACTGAAGTGGTAGAGCGCTAGCCTTGAGCTGAAGAGCCCAGGGACAGTGCCCAGGCCCAGAGTTCAGGCCCCATGACCGGCAAAAAATAAATAAAGCTGGGCATTGGTGGCTCATGCCTGTAATCCTAGCTACTCAGGAGGCTGACATCTGAGGCTCTCGGTTCAAAGCCAGCCTGGGCAGGAAACTCTGTGAGACTCTTATTTCCAATAAACTACTCAGAAAACTGGAAGTGGCGCTGTGGCTCAAGTGGTAAAGTGTTAGCCTTGAGCTGAAGAGTGCAGGGACAGCGCCCAGGCCCAGTTCAAGCCCCACAACTGACAAAATAAAAATTAAAAAAAAAATAAATACAGGGTATTTCCTTTAAAAAATCATTAGTAAGAGTCACAGAGAGCTGTCTATGAGAGGAAGGTTCTAGATTCTGTATTTGGATCTAGCTTGGCTGCTTTTCAGATGGGCACTTGGTAACCATCAAGGTCTATCAAGTTAGTAAGCAAACCCTAACTCCTTCCAAGTCAAGGTGAGTTTTCCCTGCCCCTCCCCCCTTTTTTTCTTCTTGTCAGTTGTGGGGCTTGAAGTGAAGGCCTGGGTGCTGTCTCTGAGCCTCTTTGTGCTCAATGATAGTGGCTCTACCACTTGAGCCACAGTGCTACTTCTGGTTTTTCATTTTTTATTTAAAAATTTTTGTTTATACGGTATCACGAATCAAATCCAGGGCCTCATGCATGCTAGGCAAACACTCTACCCTAAGCCACATTCCAATTTTTCTTTTTCTTTCTTTTTTTTTTTTTTGTTGGTCATGGGGCCTAGTGGTTTATTGGAGATAAGAATCTCATGGACTTTGCTGCTCAGACTGGCTTTGAACTGTGATCCTCAGATCTCAGCCTCCTGAGTAGCTAGGATTACAAGCGTGAGCCACCGGCACCTGGCTTTCATCACTTTTGAGTTTAGTGGCACTAAGCATATTCACAAGTTGCTGTACAACCTATGCCTCCTACTGGCTCCACTATTTTTTCCGCTTTTTTTTTTGGTCATGGGGCTTGAACTCAGGGACCGGGCACTGAATCTGAGCTTCTTTTGCTCAAGGTTAGCACTCTACTACTTCAGCCACAGTTGCCATTTCTGGCTTTTTGTGTTTCTGTGATACTGAGGAATTGAACCCAGGGCTTCATGCATGTTAGGTAGGCACTTTACCACTAAGCCACATTCCCAGCCCTTCCACATTTTCTCTTTTGGTCATCCTTCCTCCTAGAGATCACCTATTCTATTCTATTCATTTGTGTGTGTGTGTGGGGGGGTGCTCAGAACCTTATTTGTCTGTTTGTTTATTTCTTCAAGGCTGGGACTCTACCATTTGAGCCACAGCTCCATCTTCTGGCTTTTTGTTTCTGGCTAATTGGAGATAAGAGTCTCATGGACTTTTCTGTCTGGGCTGGGTTTGAACCATGATCCTCTCAGATTTCAGGCTCCTGAATAGCTAGGCTTACAGGTGTAAGCTCCTTCTCTATTCATATAAAGAAGGAAACAGCCTCAGACAAGTCAAAGTTAAAGTCTTTCCTACTACGAATTATTCTCTTCATTACACAGGAAGGAAACAGAGGCCAGAGATGTCAAATAGCTTCCCAGGCTGTTTTGGCTCAGAATCCTGCCCTCCCCAGATAGTCAGATCAAAGCCACTGAACATCCTTAAGCATGAGGTCTTCCCATGACCACCACACATGTCCCAAATATGACTTCACTCAATAGCTAGGACAGAAGCCAAGGAGGAAAAAAGGAAGCAGTTCTAGTTCCACAAGTGATGACTTGGCCTGTCACTTACACACTGTCTACACATGCACCCTGGCTCTTTCCCTTTAATCTTTTCTGCAGACTTCTCACTATCCTTGTTGCTTGTCACAATCACTTTGAAGTCTGCCTTAAGTAAACAGGACAAATCACTCTGCTGGGAGGCATGAACCCTGTGACCCACCTGGGCCTTCTAGAAGAAACACTGACTGCGGCATGAAGGGCAGACATGCTGGGGGAGGCTGAGCGAAGGTAATTATAAGACTGGTGCAGCTGAATCAGGACCCCAGGAGCACACAGCCTTGGCTCACCTGGGCGGTCCTGAGGGTCTGCAGGGACAGCTGCTGAGCTTTGGGAGACACGCAGGGCAGCAAAGCTATTAGACCTTTATATACTTGATTCTGGTACTTGGGGTTTCCATGTAGCAAAGAATCCAACAGAACCTGCACTTCCTCCTGGGTTTCTTCTGACTTAGACTTTGCAAGAAATTCTGCTATGGATCGTACACCTGGGAAAAAAAGAGAAAATGTTAAGTTGGATGTGATTTATGAAAACCACCTCCACTGAAGATTGCATGATAGAGAGCTGGGAGCCAGTGGCTCATGCTTGAAATCTAGCTACTTAGGAGGCTGAGATCAGAGGTTCAAGGGGTTAAGCCAGCCCCAGCAGACAAATCCAAGAGATTTTTTTTTTTCTTGGTCGTGGGGCCTGAATTCTGGGCCTGGGTGCTGTCCCTCAGTTCTTCAGCTCAAGGCTAGTGCCCTACCACTTGAGCTACAGCACCACTCCAGTTTTCTGAATGACTTATCGGAGATAAGAGTCTCATGGACTTTCCTGCCCAGGCTGGCTTTGAACTAAGATCCTCAGATCTCAGCCTCCTGAGACGCTAGGATTACAGGCGTGAGCCATCAATGCCCAGCTTAAAACATACATTAAAAAAAAAACTGATCACACTTGGAGAGGATACAGTTTACAAAATGCTTTCAAACATATCTCATTTAACCTGAGAAACTATATGTGAGGTTTTCATCCGTCTTTTTTTTTTTTTTTTTAACTTAGCAGTACTGGTATTTGGACTCACGAGCTTCATACTTGCCCTAGAGCTCTACTACGTGATCCACCTCCCCAACCTTTCCTCCTGCCTTTTAGCTTTTAGTTTTTTTCCAGGTTGTGTCTTGTGATTTTTGCCTGGGGCTGGCCTCGGTCTGCAATCCTACTTATGGCCTCCCACATAGTTGGGACCACGGTCCTGCACCATCATGCCTAGCTTATTGAGATAGAATCTTGCTTTTTCCCTAGGCTGGCCTTGAACAATGATCCTCCTGATCTTTACCCTGCAAGTATCTGGGCTTATAGTTGTGAGCCTCTGTATCTGGTGATTCGTTCCATTTTACAGATGAAGACATTGAGGCCATGGAGGAGACAGAAGGGAGAATCCTGATGAAAGCGCAGGCTGGGAAATGCTTTGAAAATGGGCTGCCTGAGGGTGCCATTGTCTTTACATGCCTCAACCAGAACATTTGCAATTCTGGAAATTACTGGGTTGTTTGCTTTCTCATCAGATGGTAAACTATTTGAGAACAGGGCCTGTATTTTACTCATCTTTGTATTCCTCCTCCCTTTGCCAATACCTGAACTATCATAAATAATCAATAATTTTACTTCTAGAGTTATTCACAACTCAATTTCACACAAGATTTTTGGCAGCAGTGAAATCGATCTTTGTTGCAGATTTGTGAAAGAGAACATATTTAAAATGGAGGACTTCTAAAAACCACCACTGAGAAGTTTGAGCAAATGATGTATCAGGAAAGCCATAAATCCAGTCTTCCGGTGGTCATGTGGACAGAAGCTAATTGAGTCCACTGTACTAAATGCTTCTTCCTGTGCAGTCCCTTGCTGTGTGACAGATTCCCCCACAGCACAGCAGGGCAAGGAGTAAGGATGCAGCCTCCCCGCCCCTCCTGTCACACACAGTACCCACCATAGCTTTCACAAATGAGCTCCTTGTACTTCCTGCCAGAGTTTGCGATAATCTGAAGGAGTTTGATGGATTCCTTCTTGTCCTCTTCCTTGATCTTCTCCAACCCAAGGATTTCCAAGAGTGTTAGGGCACCTCCAACCTCAAGAAATTCTACCAGGTACCGGTTGCTGTGTACGTAGGGGTATGGGGAAGAGTTAATAAAAACCTGTCAGGTTGCTTGCCCCTGACCTTCAGAGGGTTCCAAGGTTCTTTCTTCAACTTTGCCTCCTATCAAAGCAATGTCCATAGGAAAGTGATATAAAGTAGTACTGGATTCGTGTGTGTGTGTGTGTGTGTGTGTGTGTGTGTGTGTGTCTGTGTCTGTACCAGTATTGGGGCTGGAACTCAAGGCCGTGCAACTCTTGCTTTTGTTTTGTTTTATTGTTGGTCCTGTGGCTTCAACTCAGAGCCTGGGTGCTGTCCCTGAGCAATTTTGCTCAAGGCTAGCAGTCTACCACTTTGAGCCACAGCTTCACTTGCAATTTTCTGGTGGAGATAAATGTCTCACAGACTTTCCTGCCTGGGCTGGCTTTGAACCTCAATCCTCAGATCTCAGCCTCCTGAGTGGTTAGGATTGTAGTTGTGAGCCACCAGTACTTGGCTTTGCCTGGCCTTTTTGCTAAAGGCTGGTGCTCTACCACTTGGACCACATCTTCCAACTTTTTGCTGGTTAACTAATGTCTCACAGATTTGTCTGCTTGGCCTGGCTTTGAACCATAATCCTCAGATCTCAGTCTCCTGAGTAGTTAGGATTACAGGCATGAGCCACCAGCCCCTGGCTCTGAATTTTTTTTTGGTTGGCCATGGGGCCTGAACTCAGGGCGTGAGCATTTGGTCCTGAGCTCTTTATGCTCAAGACTGGCACTCTACCACTTTTAGCTACAGAACTACTTCTGGTTTCCTAGTGTTCAATTGGAGATAAGAGTTTCATGGACTTTCCTGCACAGACTGGCTTTGAACCTCGGTCCTGAGATCTCTGCCTTCTGAGTAGGATTCAGGTGTGAGCCAGGGCACTCAGCTGAGATTCTTTGCAGCATTTCCATTATCTGGGCTTTTCAGGGAAGTGAGACAATAATTGTCCTTTCTCTGAGTCCAAATGTGAATTGAGTGTCTGCAATTCTAGTTAGAGTGCTGACTAGTAAATGACCAATGGGGAACAGAGGTGGAGGAGAATGCAGCAGGGGAACACCACCACTGGGCCCATCTCAAGGGTTACCATTCCCCTCCTGATACCTAGAATTCCTGGTCCCCTGCAGTCTGAGTGCTGTGGACACCACAAGCCTGATACGCTATTGAGCCAGGATTCACCTCTGCAACACAACTCACCTGCTCACAGCTGACAAGAAAATGCCAATGGACCTCAGGATCTTTTCTAAGCACAAGCCAGTCATGTAGCTGCCCAACAAGTTAAAGAACACTTTCTGTGATGGTTTTCATACAGGAACCTGATCTTGTGTCTAATCCCTGGATCCTGGATCCTACCCAGGGCCTAGGTTGACAAAGAAGCTGAATTTGCATCCTTTGCCAAGAGGATGCAGGATGGGAAGAGGGGGACACTGGCGTGTTGCTTGTTGTCTAAGAAGTTCCCCCAGTGTAGTTTGGTCACCTTGGCTGTGACTGTTTGCTGAAAGTGAGGAAGGCTAAATGGAGAGAGCTGAGGATTGTGTAATATATAACGATTGCATCCATGAGTCTTAGCATACTTCATTTATTTTGTGTGTATGTGTGTGTGTGTGTCTCAATCCTCGACTTTGTGTGTGTGTGCTGTTCCTGAGGCTTGAACTCAGAACCTGGGTATTGTCCCTGAGCTTTTTTACTCCAGGATAGTGGTCTACCACTTGAGTCACAACTCCACTTCTATCTTTTTTGGTGGTTAATTGGAGGTAAGAGTCTCATGGTCTTTCCTTACTAGGCTGAATTCCATCCTCAGTTCTTACCAACTTCGTTTTTTTTTTTTTTTTTTGGTTGGTGGTGGGGCTTGAACTCTGGGCCTGGGTGCTGTCCCTCAGCTCTTCAGCTCAAGGCGAACACTCTACCACTTAAGCCACAGCACCACTTCCAGTTTCTGGTGGTTAATTGGAGATAATAGTCTCAAAAACTTTCCTGCCTAGGCTGTCTTTGAACCATAATCCTTAGATCTCAGTCTCCTGAGTAGCTAGGATTACAGGCGTGAGCCACTGGTGCCCAGCTGCTCAACTTCTTGAGTAGCTGGGATTACAGGCGTGAGCCACTGGCAGCCAGCAGCTCAACTTCTTGCGTAGCTGGAATTACAGGTGTGAGCCACTGGCACCCCACCATCATTCTTAGGCTTCTATAAAAAGAATTAGCTTCATCATTAATTCTCAATTTTGTATTTGCTCAAAGTTTTGCATGGGAGGTCTCTATCCTTATGAAGAATTGCATGGCTTCCTAGTAAGAATAACATGAGATGGTGGAAAATTAAATCCTGATTTAAAACAACCTCTGTATTTAATGTTATTTTTTAATGTGCGCCTTTGCAAAAAGCCTCATTGTAATAAAGCACCCAGAGCACGCATCAGCTTGGATACAAGGTATGAAATCAAGCCACAACAGAAAGAGAACCAGTCAACAATTACTAGGCTCATAACCCATCGCACGCTCTTAGAACACTTAAGAAATTAGCTGGAATTATTGCAGCTCATGGAGGATGACTGAGAGCTTCCACGACTGATAAAGGCTAATGTAATGGGTTGGAGGTAATGGTGCTTTGTTGGGGGGAGGGTGGGGAGGGGAAGGCAAATTATCTCTGCTGCACCCTGGCTCCCAGGATGCCAATAGAGGTAGAGACAGATTGGCTCATTAGGAAAAGCTCTTTACTGCAAGAAGAGTGTCTTCTCTGGAGCCCGGCTCTCCTGCCTGTTGCCGCCATAGCTAGAGTTCGGGCTATCAGCTCTCATGAAGTCTCTTTATTCCCACCTTGTCTTCTCCCTTCTCTCCCATGCCTGCTTCAGTGTATTTTCTCCATTTTCTTCACTTACTAGCTAGGCTGACCAATTTTTGTTACTTCCCTCCCTGGCCATACATACGTGTGTGTGTGTGTGTGTGTGTGTGTGTGTGTGTGTGTGACAGCATCCTTACAGCCTAGGCTGGCTGTACTCTTGATCATCCTACCTCCTCCTCCTCAGGTGTGGCGATGCAGCGTGATCGCCACACATGGAACTATTTTTGTTTTCATAGTCGTACACTATCATCTTTCTGGTTTATTGTTTCCAGCAATTTTTCTAGAAGATTACGACGATATCAGTAGGAGCTAACAGGGATTGCATTTATTGCATGCCAGGCACTGTGCTAACTGCTTTGCTTGCATTGTTTCATATCATCTTCATCACAGTCCTCTAGTGGGCCAATAGGACATCATGTCTCAGAAAAGAAGAGAGCCACAGGGCTGGGGATGTGGATTAGTGGTAGCATGCCTACCTAACATGCATGAACCCCTGGGTTTGATTCCTCAGTACCACATACACAGAAAAGGCTGAGTGGCTCTGTGGCTCAAGTGGAAGAGTGCTAGCCTTGAGCAAAAGAGTTCAGGACAGCACCCAGTCCCTAAGTTCAAGCCTCACAATTGAAAAACAAAAGCTAGTTAGGGATGGGGATTTGGCTCAGTAATAGAGCTGTTGCCTAACATGTGCAAGTCTTCAGATCTCAAGCCTCCTGAGTAAGTAGGATTATAAGCATGAGCTACTGGTGCCTGGCTCTAACCTACATTTTAAGCCTCTTATGCACATAAGACATTAGACTCAACCTAGACATATAGTCAGAAGTATTCCCTCTGGCCAGTGTTGCAGGCCTAAAGCCTGCAGTTTACATCCCTAATTTATCAGTGACCTACATGTAAGGAACAGAGAGCTGTGTTTATTTAAACCTTGAGTCCTGACTATCTAAAGGATCTCTGGTTCACTCATTTCTTTACCCAGTAGACATGTTCCAGGCATAGTGCTAGGTGACAGAAATGCAGCATGGATGCAACTGTTGACCTCACAGAGCTTATAGTCCAGTGTGGGGAGGGAGGTAGTAAGCAAGTAAAACAAAATGCTAAGGCTATTAGGAGGAAGTTCTGTGAATACAGATAAAAGGAGAACTTTGGGCTTTTCAAAGGGCTTTTGGGGAAAGTAATGTTTAAATTGAGGCCTGAATAAAGGAGAGGAATTAGTCATATAGGAGAAGGTTTATGAAAGGGGAGAGGGTTCATGCAAAGAGAAAAAAACAACAAAGAAATCTGAGGTGATCCACCAAGTGCACTTTCAATTCAGAGCAGAGATATCTTCAAATCCATTATAACTCTTGTCACTTCAGTGGTGACCAAATCTGTCTTCCTCCCTGATCTTCCTTTAGGGCTTCTAAACACAGGCAACTCAAAATTAGCATGTCTCAAACTCAGTTTACCTACCCCCAAAACTTGCTCTACTCCCCATTCACTGAATTCTCTTCCTATTTACCTACCCAGAAATTTGAGTCATTCTGGGGCATATGAGGAGAGCCAGGAGTTGGATAAGTAGGTATGGAGTTTAGATTTCAGAGGAAGGTTTGCAGAATCCTCCAATTGGGGTGATGAAGGAATCATGACAATAGTTACTGCTCAAGAAGAAACAGAAAACACACAGGATGTCGATAGAACACCAACATGTAAGGGAAGGCTCAAGAAGAGGAGAAATGGATATAAAAGCCCGGCACAGCCAGGTGCTGGTGGCTCTTGCTTGTAATCCTAGCAACTCAGGAGGCCGAGATTTGAGGATCATGGTTCAAAGCCAGCCTGGGCAAGGAAAGTCTGTGAGACTCTTATCTCCAATTAACCACCAGAAAACCAGAAGCGGCGCTGTGGCTCAAAGTGGTAGAGCAGAGACTTGAGTAGAAAAGCAAACAGGCTCCGAGTTCAAGCCCCAGGACCCATTAAAAAAAAAAAGTAAAAAATGAAAACAAAATAAAAATAAAGAAATAGATATAAAGAAAGGGGAAAAAAACTCAAGAAATGTTATTATAGAAACCAAGACAGGGCTTGGGAAGGTGGCTCAGTGGTAGAATGCTTGCCTCGCATGCATGAGGCCCTGGGTTCGATTGCTCAGTACCACATAAACAGAAAAAGCCGGGGCTGGGAAGGTGGCTCAGTGGTAGAGCACTTGCCTTGCATGCCTGAGGCCCTGGGTTCCATTCCTCAGTACCACATAAGCAAAAAGAAAAAAGCTGGAAGTGGCGCTGTGGCTCAAGTGGTAGAGCGCTAGCTTTGAGCTGAAGAGCTGAGGGACAGCGCTCAGGCCCAGAGTTCAGGCCCCACGACCGCCCCCCCCCCCTCCCGCCAAAAAAAAAAAAGAAAAGAAAAAAGAAAAGCAAAAGCCGGAAGTGGCGCTGTGGCTCAAGTGCTAGAGCACTAGCCTTGAGCAAAAGCAGCTCAGGGACAGGGCCCAGGCCTTGAGTTAAAGCCCCAGGACGGGCAAAAAAAAAAGAAACCAAGATATTTCTTGAATCTGAATGTTTTGAGAAGTGGGAAAGGTTGATTGACAAAGGCTACTTAAAGGCCAGTAGAATGAGGAATGTAAGGAATTTGAATGTAGTCACTGGTGGTTACAATTAGAAAATCACTGGTAGGGGCTGGGAAGGTGGCTCAGTGGTAGAGCGCTTGCCTTGCATGCATGAGGCCTTGGGTTCAATTCCTCAGCACCACATAAACAAAAAGAAAAAAAGCCAGAAGTGGCTCTATGGCTCAAGTAGTAGAGTGCTAGCCTTGAGCTTAAGAGCTGAGGGACAGCGCCCAGGCCCAGAGTTCAGGCCCCATGACTGGACCCAAAAAAAAAAAAAAAGAAAATCACTGGTAACCTGGGGAGAGCTGGGTGTATCAGTGGAGGGAACAGGAGTCAGAATGCAGCAGGCAGAGAGGAAACAGGGAGAGCCAACCACCTTTTCAACGAGCTCCACCATGAAGAACAGGAGATAGGCACAACTCAGGTTTGAGATGGGAATTTAATTTTATTTCTAGAGGTAGGAAAGATTTCAGCATATATAAATGTTGATGAAAAAAGTTGGTAGCTGGGCGCCAGTGGCTCAACCCTGTAATCATAGCTATGCAGGAGGCTGAGATCTGAAGATGGTAGTTTGAAGATAGCCCAGGCAGGAAAATCTTAGACTCATATCTCCAATTAACCACCAAAAGACTGGAAGTGGAGCTATGGCTCAAGTAGTAGAGAAGTAGTAGAGTGCCAGCCCTGAGCAAGAGAGCTCAGGGTCAGCATCCAGGCTCTGAGTTCAAGCCAGGACCAGTACACACACACACACACACACACACACACACACACACACGCACGCACGCACGCACGCACACGCACACACACACACAGAGCTGGTAGTGAGGTTAACTTACAGGACAGAAAAAGTGAAGTCCCAAAGGAGATAGTCGGGAATTCAAAAGAGAATAAAAACAGATTCACCCTACAGAGAAGGAATAGCTTCTTTAGTTCTGATGAGAGAAAAGAAAGACCAGGAGAGAATAAGGACACACAGGTTGGGAAGACAGGAAATCCATAAAGCTCTTGACTTTTGGGATATATTTAGATGTCCTGTTCAAAGATATGACAGAGATTCAAGAGCAAAGCTTCTTCACCATCTCATCTCTCTCTCTCTCTTCTTTTGAAGAGTGTCTACCTTTTTTCCCCAGACTGTTGGTTAAAGGATACGTGATTCTGAGCCAGGTGGTCAAACGCACTAGGAACAAGCTGGCTCCCTGGGAAAACTCCTGCTCCAGTTCAGGGGCAGTCTTGCCTTGATTGGATTCAATGAAAATTTTAAGAATGTTATTCCTTGCAGCTTTGCCAGCATTGTCCCACTCCTGCAAAAAACTCAGGAGCCTGCTAATTGCTGCCTGCTCCTTTATAGACGTCATGGCTAATCAGTCCTGAGGCTGCTGCAAAGGGAAGAGAGACAGGTTACCAGAACATTTAGGATTATGCAAATCTGTAGCCTTGTGGGCTTTGCTTTTCTATTGATTTTCTGGAAACTTGGTGAGCCTCTGACATGACTATGGGTTACCTGTGAAATCCACCCTACGGGGCTGGGAGTGTGGCTCAGGGGTAGATTGTTTGCCTAGAATACACAAGGTCCTGGGTTTGATCCTGAACACTGGAAGTGAAAAAAAAAAGAAAAAAAGAAAAGAATCATCTATTCCAGAACTAGCCATCTTCTATTTACAGGGAAATTCTAATAAAACTGAGAATATCAAGGCAGTACAGGCAGGTGTAGTGGCAAACACCTGTAATCCAAGCTGAGGCAAGAAGATCATAACCCTCGAGGCCAGACTCAGCTGCACAATGAGACCCTCTTTCAAAAAAGAAGAGTACGGGGGCTGGGAAGGTGGCTCAGTGGTAGAGCGCTTGCCTTGCATGCATGAGGCCCTGGGTTCGATTCCTCAGCACCCCATAAGCAAAAAGAAAAAAGCCGGAAGTGGCACTGTGGCTCAAGTGGTAGAGAGCTAGCCTTGAGCTGAAGAGCTGAAGGACTGCGCCCAGGCCCAGAGTTCAGGCCTCACAACCGGACCCCCTCCCAAAAAAAGAAGAGTACGAAGGTGGTCTGCTTTTTTCTTTTAGTTCAGCTAAACAGGTACTCTACCACTAGCCACGCATCCAGCCTCTTTTTGCTTTGGTTATTTTGGAGGTATTCAAGGTAGGCTATCCTGGGCTTTGATCCTCCTTCCTGTGCTTCCCTGAGCCATTAGGGATGACAGGCCCTGGCCAGTGCACTAGTCATTGTACTTCTCCCATACCTTGGATAACAGGTGTGCGCCACTACAGCCAGTTGCTGGATGAAGAGTCTCAAGAACTTTTTGTACCTGGGCTGGCCTCAAACTGTAATCCTCCAATTCCTACCTTCCAATAGCTAGAATTACAGATTTAAGCCACTATGTCTAGCTCAAGGTAGTCAGCTTTTTTTTTTCTTTTTTTCTTTTTTTCTGATCCTGGGGCCTGAACGCTGGGCCTGGGCGCTGTCCCTCAGCTCTTCAGCTCAAGGCTAGGGCTCTACCACTTGAGCCACAGCGCCACTTCCGGCTTTTTTCTTTTTGCTTATGTGGTGCTGAGGAATCGAACCCAGGGCCTCATGCATGCAAGGCAAGCGCTCTACCACTGAGCCACCTTCTCAGCCCCGGTAGTCAGCTTTTTTAAGAGCTAAAGTTTTCTCTGCTAGGACCAGCAACTAGATGATCACAAGTTACAAATGAAAATAAGGTGATTGCTAAAATCCTAGCCCTCTTTTTTCTTTTTTTGGTTGGTCATGGGGCTTGAACTCAGGATCTGGACGCTATCCTTGAGCTCTTTATGTTCAAGGTTGGCACTCTACCACTTTGGGCTACAGTGCCACTTCTCGTTTTCTGGTGGTTAGTTGGAGATAAAGGTCTCACAGATTTTCCCGCCTAGGTTGGCTTTAAACTGTGATCCTCAGGTCTCAGCCTCCTGAGTAGCTAGGATTATAGGTGTGAGTCACCAGTACCTGGCTCTAGCCTTCTCTTATGACTTATTTTATACTAGGTTGGAAATTGGGGTCTTTCACTTTCTTTCTTTTTTCTTTTTTATGTCAGTCCTAGAGCTTGAACTCAGGGCCTGGGTGCTGTCCCTGAGCTTTTGTGCTTAAGGCTAGTGCTCTAGCAATTGAACCACATCCACTTCTGGCTATTTGTTGGCTACTTGGGAAATAAAAATTTCAAGGACTTCCTTGATCTTGCTGGCTTTGAACAGGGATGCTCAGATCTCAGTTTCTTTAGTAGCTATGATTACAGGTGAGCCATTGGTACCTGGCTTGAAATTGCTGTTTTTTGTTCTTTGTTTTTTTTTGGTCCTCGTGGTGCCTGAACTTTGGACCTGGGCGCCGTCCCTCAGCTCTTCAGCTCAAGGCTAGCGCTCTACCATTTGAGCCATTGCACCACTTTGGCGTTTTCTGCTTATTTGGTGCTGAGGAATCGAACCCAGGGCCTCATGCATACAAGGCAAACACTCTACCACTTAGCCACCTTCCAAGCTCCGAGATTGGGAGTGTGGGGGGGGGGGGTCTTTAATGACTCAGTTCCCCCCTCCTGCTAAAGTGCTGCTTAACCTTGTATGTAGAGCTTTTACACTAACTCTTCAAAACAACTTAAAAAAAGTTAGTGGGAAGAAAAACTTCATATTGTATAGTTGGGTTAATGGGCTGTGCTTTGTAGGAGTCTATGTCCTTGGGAATGTTTTCAGTGGGGGAGGGAAGGTTTAAAATAAACCCGTTTTCCAAAAATAGTTGTGATTGAAAGTGTTATTATCCATAACAAATGTTAGTCAGTGCTGATGGGAGAAAGGCGTGTGCGATTCTTTTGTCTAACAGACAAGTGAAAGTCATATTTCACATTACCATGGGGTTTTCTGTGATTTACAGAATATTTGTGAAACATTACTTGCAAAGGCCTTGATTGATATGGAGAGAACAGCTTGTGTGTAGGGAGATGTGTATTTCACAAAGACTGTTCAACATGAAATTTACAGTCCCATAAAGTGCTTCTACATCTTCGCCAGAGATCTAGTTAAAAGGACTTTACAGTCTGAAACATCCGAAAATTGATTCTAAATTAACGTTTCCTCGCATGTATTTGAGATATTGATGGGGCCCAGCTATCAGGATTTTATTAGGAAGTAGGAATCTGAGGCATGCTGAGACAGACAGACAGACAGACAGACTGGGATACACACCCACCTCCACTGCCTCTCAGATGACACCTGGGAAGGGCATCCCACACAGCTAACCCCAGGAAGGTAGACAACCACACCATCCTGTCATCCTTAACAACTAGGTGGGCAACGGTGACCAACATAAATGCAAAAATGACCAAAGCCTCTTCTGAAATGATGCCATCAATCACAGGAATGTCATTATGGTCACAAGTATGAAAATAACTTTCAGAGGCCATCACCACCTTTAATAGCCAGACTAGCCTCAAAAAAAAAAATGGGGATGGATAGCTAGCTATTCTAGATGGTGGGGAGGAGGAGGCTGACGGGCCAGCATTAGCTTTATCAGGATGGATTGTTCCCAGGGTCAAACTTCAAAACCCTATGAGAGATACAACCAGCAATTCCAGGACACCAAAGGCAGGAAACACTAGGCAGGATGCTCCATACACACTGTGGCTCCTTGGACCTGAGTCTTCCTCTACTACATGAGTACACCACTATTCCTGGTGCACATCTTTTTCTTTTGAAACAGAAAAATTATGCTAGGTGCCTGTGGCTCATACCTATAATCCTAACTACTCAGGAGGATCAGAGGATCATGGTTTGAAGCCAGCATGGGCAGACAAATCCACGAGACTCTTATCTCCAGTTATCCAGCCAAAAGCTGGATGTGGAGATGTGATTCAAGTGGCAGAATACCATCCATGATTGGAAGAAGCTAAGTAAGACTGCAAGGTCCTGAGTTCAAGCCCCAGGAATAGCACACATATGCCCACATCTAATCACACACAAATAAAAAAAAACAAGTGTCTGATTTTCTTTCTTTTCTTTCTCTCTCTCTCTCTCTCTCTCCCTTCCTTCCTTCCTCCCTCCCTCCCTTCCTTCTTTTTGTTATTCATGGGCTTGAACTCAGGGCCTGGATGCTGTCCCTGAGCTTTTTTGCTCAAGGCTTCCACTTTACCACTTGAGCCACAGCTTCAGTCTGGCTTTTCTGTTGGCAAACTGGAGTAAAGAATCTCATGGATTGTCTTGCTCAAGGACTGGCTTCAAACTGCAACCCTCAGATCTCAGCCTCCTGAGTAGCTAGGATTACAGGGGTGAGCCACCAGTGCCTGACATCACCTTTTGGTGATGGTTCTAGGTATGGAACCCAGTGTCTTTTTAGACAAGTGCTCAGCCACTGAGTTATTTTGTTTTTTTTTTTTGTCCGGCTGTGGGGCCTGAACTCTGGGCCTGGGCGCTGTCCCTCAGCTCTTCAGCTCAAGGCTAGTACTCTACCACTTGAGCCACGGTGCCACTTCCGGCTTTTTTTCCCCACTTATGTGGTGCTGAGGAATTGAACCCAGGGACTCATGCATGCAAGGCAAGCGCTCTACCACTGAGCCACCTTCCCAGCATCAGCCACTGAGTTCTATCTCCAGCACTAGTGACAGCTTTCAATATGAAAGGAAGCCAAATCAGTGAGTCCCCAAATGAATTTACCATGTCCTCATACTGCCCTGGCCCTCTGATGGTCTGATTTCAGTGACTGGATCACTATTCTCCTAGCCAGCAGTCCTGGACTAGCCTTCTTCAGCTAACCTGCTAGTTGCCAGTTTCTGCCAACTATAGCTCCTACAGTTCCCTGTTTTACTCTGTATAGTTACATCTGCACTGCCACTACAGTGTTAGATTTCAGCCCTAATCCCCCAGTCAAGATTCCAATGCTCCTAATTCCTTTACAAGGCTAACCCCACCCTAAGTGTCACAGAATTGAGATTCTTAGATTTCAGCCTCCTGAGTAGCTAGGATTATAAGGCACTAGACACGGATGCCTGGCTCAATTCTTTTTTTTTTTTTGTCAGTCATGGGGCTTGAACTTGGCCTGTGTGCAGTCCCTCAGCTCTTAAGCTCAAGGCAAATACTCTACCACTTGAGCCACAGTGCCACTTCTGGTATTCTGGTGGTTAATTGGAGATAAGAGTCTCATGGGGGCTGGGAGAGCACTTGCCTTGCATGCTTCAAGCCCTGGGTTCGATTCCTCAGCACCACATAAGTAGAAAAAAAAAGCCGGAAGTGGCGCTGTGGCTCAAGTGGTAGAGTGCTAGCCTTGAGCTGAAGAGCTGAGGGACAGTGCCCAGGCCCAAAGTTCAGGCCCCATGACTGGACCCTTCCCACCCCCCCCCCCCCAAAAAAAAGGAGTCTCATGGACTGGCTTTGAACCGTGATCCTC